ACTTGCCATTCCAGTATTTATCTTATGTTTTACTCTTAGTACTTCTTTGCTATCATGAAAACTTTTTCTTAGTTCAATTGTTTGGAAACATTTAATTTTCTGAATATTGCTTAATCTTAATTTTTGTTCTAAGATTTATGCTATATCTTGGACTTACAACTTATTTAAAAGACATTGTATGATATCTTCTCCTAGTATTAGAAACTTTAAAAAGTATATTTCCATTTTCTGTTGACTTTTAAAAAAACAGAAGTTTGTACCTATGTTGTTTACTTATTATTTCTTGCCTATATCTTGTAATATGAGAAACTACTTTGGCAGTAACAAAACACAATGTACTAAGCATTGTTACTCTCCTAAAAAAATAAATAAATTGAATTAAATTAAAATATCCAAAAAAAATCAAATTACATCTATTTATTTATAAAAGTCTCAAGTTTCCAGGCACAATGAGCCAGCCACTGAGACTGGGCATGGTAGCACATGCCTGTAACCCCAGATCTGGGAAGACTGAAAACAGGAGGATCACTATGAGTCCAAGATGCACAGTGGCATCCTGTACCAAATACATTTTTTAAAAAATGTCTCAAGTTTATCCTTCTTTGCCGGGGAAATGGCTCAGTAGAATAAGTGCTTCCCTGGCAAGCACAAAGGCCTGAGTTCAAGCCCCAGTTCTGCAAAAAAAAAAAAAAAGAATTTCGTCTCAAGTTTATCCTTCATTATGGCAGAGTACTACTCTATTATATAAAAATACCATATCTTTTTATTCATTCCTCAGTGGATGGGCACTTAGGTTGTTCCCAAGATTTAGCCATTACAAATTGTGCTACTATAAAAATGAGTGTACATACGTTGCTGGTAACTATTGACCTGATACACTTAGCCTCAGGAGCAAATTCCACAACTATATAACAAATCCAACATATACCAGGAACTCATGTACAATGGTTTTCCCGTTAGTGGGGTAATTTTACCCTGTTGTGGGGGAGTTCTTCAAGGGATAGAGGACAAGACAGAGAGATGAATAAGGTCAAATATAATAGAAGCAAGGCTAGAGGACAAAGGATGATCACTTGTTTTGGAAACTGGAACACAGAAGAGAGCAAGAATAAAAGAGAAAGTTAATGTGTGTTGAAGTGAATCAGAAAGAGGGAAGACAAAGTTTGTTCACATGTAAATGTCATAAAATCAAGAAGTAGTTGAGTAAAGAGAGCAAAGAAATAAGTAGAAGAAAGCAAAAGAAAGGTAAGAAACCTAAACTGTTGGGGGAAAAATAAAAGAAGGAAAGGAAAAGAAAGAAAGGAAAAAAACCAAAAATCAAAGCTAAAACAAAAATTACCAAAGACCAAAAGAAATACAACTAGGTAAAAAAATTAATTTTTTTTTAAAAAAGATAACCAATTAGACAAACAAAAATAAAAGTGGTCAAATTGCTCTGATGTTCACAGGCCTGTGGGTGTATCCAAATCAGATCCTAGAAATGTACTGTATACTCCAGCCAAGTTTACTTTGGATGCAGGGTGTGGGATTGTGATTGGCTTCTGGAAATGGGGGCTGGAACTGGGTACTCTGTTGCTAGTGCCCTCCAGAGGACTTTGATAGCTCACCCACTGTTTTCTGTGTGTTTGTGTGCTAAACCACAACTCTGGGCTTTCTTTTATATTCTACTCATCTATCTGTTTTATGTTGGTGCCATCCTGTTTTGATTATTATACTTTTTTACTATATTTTGGAATTCAGACATTGTGATTCTTCCAGCATTTTTCTTCTCCTTTATTATTTGTTTATTTAGAATATTTTGAGTTCCTGTATGAATTCTGTTTGTTTTTCTATCTCTGTGAAAAGCTTCACTACAATTTTATAGGGATTTCATTGGCTCTTCACACTGCTTTGGGTAGTATAGACATTTTAGTATCATTTTTTTCAATTCATGAATGTGGGATTTTTCTGTTTATTTGTGGCTTCAATTTCTGTCTTCTATGTTATTTTTCATATATAGATGTTTTCACATCTTTGGTTGATTTTGGGTTTAAATATTTTAATTTATCTTATAGTTATTCACACAGACTAGAAATATCAAATTATCAGATGTTTGAATGTATCGCAGCACATCAACTTGAACACTATAGTTTATACTTCTCTATCTCTCTTGCATGCTCTTCCCTCCCCTCCATTTGCTCATCTCCAGACCTTCCATTTCTCTACACAGCAGGCTATACAAAGCACTTCCCCAAAGCTTTAATTGAGTCCACGTTTATTCACTCTCTCTTCTGTTCTAACATGACTGTCTTTCCACAGTAGCACTTTCAATATGTTTTGTGACTTAGCTAATGTCTCCTTCATGTGAAAAAGCTCTGTTTTGTTCATGCCATTGTTATTAGCACTTAACAGTAGCCAGGCATTTGTAATAGTTGCTAAATAAATATTGAAGGAAAGAGTACCATGGAAAGACTAGCAATATTTTAAGTACATGTGTATGACTGGGTAAAACAGATGAAGGCTATGGGTGGTGCTGTGGCTACGTGACTGATTGATCTGACTCAGAAAAATGTAGCACTGAAATAAGATCATTATTTTTAGTCTTTCTCTGTTTTCCCCCATAGCACTGGGCTCAACTCCTGTAATTTCTGTCATGGGATATCATGATGGAGGCATCCAACTACTCTGCCAGTCCTTGGGCTGGTTCCCCCCGCCCATAGTTAAATGGAAAGACCCAAAAGGACAAGATTTATCCTCGGACTATAAAACAACTAGAGACAAGAACAACCTATTTAACGTGGAAACCTTCTTTATACTCCAAGAAAATACTGGGAACATATCATGTTCCATTCAGCTTGCTGAACACCTTCAAGAGGTGGAATCCAGGGTGTGGATAGGAGGTGAGTGACTGGAGGAGGAGAGGGGTTGAAATGTGTGTTTTGAGTCACAGAGGAGGAAATGGCAGCTTCTTTCTTGGTATTGTTGTGTAGTATCACACAAGTTTAATGACTCATTTTGAAAGTCATAGGTAAGTGAGAGATGAAAACAAAATTTTGAGAATTTTAATAGATGGAAATAGAATTGTGTATAATTTCAGAAGAGTGCAATTGTTTCTTTCATCACAGGGTTGGCCCTGTGGTACAGCTGTCCAGACAATACACACAAAACTTAATAATAACTCTAGGAAAACTGGAAACAAAATTTGTCTACCAATTTCTAAGAAAATATTATTATTCCATAGAATGGATGAAATTAAAAATATAGAAAATTTGAGGAAGAGTTTAAAGTATAGCAGAAAGATTTATACAGCCCAAACATGGAATAAGATTTAGTTAAAAAAGGATATAATAGTGCAGTAAATAATACAAAAATGTTGGGCTAGATTTTACAGCCCCAACTTTTGCAATCCATTAAAGAAAATATGCATCATATGAAATATTCACTGCAAATCAAAAAATGAAAAAATATAAACAAGGCAAAATTAATTGTATCAATATATTACTGTTAAGGGGGCCAGGGAGATGGCTCAGTGGAATAAGTGCTTCCCTTGCAAGCACAAGGGCCTGAGTTCAATCCTTGGTTCAAAAA